ATTTCTACCTCGACCTTCAGACGAAGGTTGCCTATTTTCGTAACACCCGCTTTATGTTTGTACAGCGACCAGTTTTTTTTCTTTTCTACAAAAGATTTGTATGTTTAATGTCAGTCTCAAAATCATCAGTAGAAAACTTGTGACGAGAAAGTGTAAATACATAAAACTGAATATGATGTAATTTCAAAATTGACAAATCAAATGTTGTGCAGAAAGACCATCTGTATCATTATTTAGCTTGTTGTTGCGTTACAATTTGTTTTGATACGGTATGCTTGAAAAAAAGTTTCATTTAATGCTAAATTAAATGGCGAAAGATGGGAATTTAATTTCGAAATGGCTCTGTAACTGCATTTCATTTTTATCGTTTCACAATCTGTCGCCAAAAGAAAGATGTAATTAATATGAGTAGGAATAACCTATCTACCTTACTGGTAAGTTATTATTTAGGAGAATTCTCAATTAGCTGGAATAATAGTTCAGTCATTTAGCTTGAATAATATATAATTCGTCATTCAATAATAATTTATTCGTAATTTGCATTAACAAATCTTATCTCTAGGATATCATTAAGCAAATACAAATTATTAAGTATCATTTTAGCTCAATTGAAAATTTTTTGCACTCCCCTGCATCAATAAATAAATAAATAAAATAAAAATAAACCAGAAGGACCAATACACATTTGTTTGCAACAACAAAAAAAAAAAAAAAAAAAAAAAAAAAAAAAAAAAAACCATTATTTTACTTTGTTGAAACAAGTTATAAGCAGTGTTCCATTCAAGCACTAGACAAAATCACTTTCACGGAATGAAGTCATGCCATTGAGACATTAGGTATTTTTTTAAAACAGGAGAAATGAAAAATGAGCAACGCCTTCGCCGGGAATCGAACCTCGGACCTCGGGAATACGCGCCTAGGCTGCAGACCACTGCAATACGAAGGCATGCTAAAAAGGCGAGAGAAATACCTTATATACTTCCTCTTTTTTAAAGGGCGACTGGGGTTTTTAGGGGACCTAACCGCCAAATCCTGGGTGTCGAGAATCATCATCCGCCATCCTTTTAGTTCGGTAGCCACTGTAGAGACATTAGGTAATTTTTGGAAGCAGGAGAGATGAAAAATGAGCAACGCTTTCGCCGGGACTCGAACCAAGGGCATCTCGAATACGCACCAAGCGTGCAGACCACTACACTACAAAGGCATGCTAAGAAGGCGGAAGAAATACCTTATAACACAATAATATTTTTTCTTTTAATAAAACTGTACATAGTCTCCGTGTAGTGCAATACTAAGAACATTATTTTTTGTTTGGAACCTTATATTAATTCTCTTAATAATCAATAAGTATTTGTAATTACATATATGAACTTTGAAATAAAGCCATTTTAAGGAGTCCAAAGAATAATTTAAAGAACAGTTCACAGAACCAAACTATAGAAAACAAAGTTATCTGGCAGCTTTTAATCTTTCGGAAAATCTAAATATTTAGAACTTGTTCCTACGAAGTGATTATATATTACGGCATTTTTTGTTTTTTCGACTGGCAATCTGGTAGACAAATAAAATACTTATTTCTTACTATACGTCATATAGAAGATTGGACTGATTATTTGTGGGGTTAGTATAAAAAGTGCAGAAGAGAAATTTATACCTTAAAATTAGTTGAACAGTGATATAAGAAATTCTATTGTAATCATAAAATTTTTAGACAGTGAATTTAAAAAATATATTGCAAACTGTTATAGCAACATTATTCAGTAGACAGATACTGTCACAGCATGCAGGCACATTCTGGGCGCAACAATTAGAGAAACCTCCTGAAATGTAAAGCAGTCACTTGACATGACTCGAATTTAAACCTTTTGTTGTAGAAAACTTCGGAATGAAAAACCTAAATGCCTTTTACTTGAAGCATATTTTGAAACTTTTATACCATTAGCGGTACACTAAAAAAAAATTAAACAAATTTTCCCATAGTATGCTTGGTCGGCAAATCGACAATACATGGGTTTAATGTATTCAAATTCACGATGGTATATTAAAAAACGAGTCTCAGCATTTTTGTTTAGCATTATGTCTTAGTTAGCATTATGTCTTTTGTTTAGCATTATGTCTTTTGTTTAGCATTATGTCTTAGCATTAGTTTTTTAGTCTTAGCATTTTTACTAATTGACATTATGCGCTTGATGTGAGTCTTAGCATATTAGCAAGAGCGCTTTTCGCCAGACGCAGGATACCGTTGAGGTACGTAACAAAGTGAAAAAACAAATATCACTATCAAAACTTAATACCTTTCTGAAGAAAACAGCGTTTTTTAACTATTAATTCGCTGTTTGGAAGAGCCTCAGTATTTAGAAGGAAATACATATTTTACATTAAAAATTAATTTATTTTAGTGCCCGGCATGCAAAAGTAGCAAACTGGGAAATCTGTATTAAAGTAAATTTCAAGTACCTACTTTCATTCACAAATTAAATAAATTAAAATTTCTTGATACCAAAATAATTTCCTAAAAAGCAATAAACTTCTATGCAAAAAGGCATAAAACATTTCAAATAAATTATAAAATGTATCTATCTTACAAGCATCTTAAGAAAGCTTTTGTCGTTCCACGCAAAAGCTCATCACGTGTGTGTGAAACAGCAGTCCACTAAAGTACTCTTAAACTAACGATTAATAATAAGTAGCATATTATGAATATAATTGTAGAATCGTTAGATCTACTTAGGAACACGAAACGTTTGCAGTGCTCTCGCCGGAAAACGAACTCCGGACCTCCCTATTGCTAGCCGCACATGCTTTCTATTACACCTCCAAAGTACGCTATAAGAAGGAGGAAAATTTCTTACATTCCCGCCAACTTAAACGGCGACTGTAGAAAGGACGATTTAGTCGTCAAACCCTAGTCGTGACGAATGGGGTAACCTAGTATTGACCACCGCATGTTAGTTCGGGCGTCACTGTAGATTCATTAGTCTCATTTTGGAGCAGGAAACATGAAAACATGCGATGCCGTCTCCGGGATAAACAACAGTGTCGCATAAATTTGCCACAGACTTACAGGTTCTAAAATAAATTCGTCTTAGTATTTGCACTAACCTTTCATATCTTCACTATTAAGTCCTTTGCTTACTTCTCCGATTTCGCTGAAATGACTACCATAACTGTAATTTATGACTTTATTTTAAAGAATTAAAGATTGCTAGCCAAACAGGCTTCCAATTACACCGAAAACGTAAGCAGTAAAAAGGGAAAAATATCGTACATTATTTATATGCACATCATATACACTTATTTTCCTCATAAGCTTTTACAGTTTCATCCAATGCAGGTTTGATAGTTTAAAAATGATAATAGTAGTAAGAATGAAATTTTGATAATTGTTTTCCAAATAACAAACGCTTATATTTTTCTTATCAGAATTAAATAGAAATAAAAAAATAAGAGAGATATCTGAAAATTTATTTTACGTGATTTAAGGATTATTAACCAAAATATACTGTTCATTAAGATGAGTTTTTAATGAACATTTAGGCTTTTTCAATGCAAAAAAAGAAACTTATAGCTTCGCTCCAGTTATCTCAGAAAAACAGGGTTTTACTCTATAATAATGAGCTAATTGTTTTCATTGTGTCTTGATACACTGGCTTATCAGAGATATTGGCTTCTTCACAAGCGTTTAGAAATAGTAGAGAAACAAACATTACAGGTTATATGAAGCATTACATTAAAACGCTGCTACAGCAGTGTTTTGTACGGCTATTTCGGCAAGTTATATGACCTGAAAAGATTCCATACATAAATAAGTGTTGCGTAAATTTGTCACAGAGTTACAAGATCTAAAAAAAATTTATCTTAGTAATTGCATTACTTTTTCATTTCTCCGCTATTTAGTCCTTTTTCCGTTAGTTTGTTTTCCTTAGTTTGTTTTTCCGATTTCGCTGAAATGACGACCATAACTGTAAATTGTGGCTTTATTTTAAAGAATTAACGTGCTTTTCCATGCTACAAATTTTCATCGCGCGTTTTTTGTCATAAATAACATCTCGTTCGTTTGAACGAAATTAGTTTAAACGAAACAGCCATTTTGAACTTCCGCATCTTCGGCAGCTCTTGGTCCTCTTATATAATGCAATAATTTACCTTTTAAAATATCGCCCAAGCATTAAAGTCACTGAATACTGGTAGTTCGGTCCGAGGTTCGAATCCTGCGAACTGGCTGTTTGGGCGTTTTCCTGGTTTTTCTCATGTGTAACGTGTATTTGAGCCAGTTTCCCTTAGAACGTCCTCTACGAAGGCATCCTTTCCCTTAGGCAGATAGCCCGAGAGGTTTTGCTATAATCGCATAAACCAACACTTTATAAAATATCCTACAAAATTCGAATCTTTTCCGAACAGGTTTTAAAAACTCAAAAAATGCGCAAAATCGGACGATCTGGACACGGGTTTGGCTTATCTTTAAGAGGGGACAAAAAGCGTGGCAGGTGCATAATGGAAAAATACCAGATGTTTTGAAAATTTCTTATATTAACGCCTTCCACTATTCAACTAATAAGCAATTATCACCTTCTCCTATACCCGTCATGTAGTTCGCCGAGAAGGATGTGTCTAAGTGGGCGTGAAATCCTTAATAAGTAAATTAAATTGGTGAGCCCTAGAACTAGAAAATTTTTGTTATAAGCCAGAAATAGAAAATGCTTGTGATAAGAATTGAATGATCAAGCCAGTAAATAGAGAATATGCTTCCTGCTAAAAACTGAATCGTTATAAAAAGTATTCTAAATATTTGATTACTAAATTAATCATTATGGGCTGAATAAATATACTCCTCTCATCTTAAAATCAGTAAATGCGGTAAAAGCAGGATAGAAAGTATTTTCCTTGTCTTCAAAGTAATATTCTTTAATTATAAAACATGTTTTAAAAAATATTAGTAGATTATAAAAATAGTTCATTGGATTTATGCAATCTTCAAAAATAATCAAAATTATACTTACCTATGCAATAAGTTGTGCCGACCATGATGGAGGCTACCCAGGCTGTCGTGCCCTTGCTTTCGCCGTAGTATTTTAAAAACTCATAGTAAAAAATTCCAAAAGTATAAGTGACGCCATCAGCAATTACATGAATCATGAAAGATGCAAATACAACAACCCATCCCCATCCGCCGTCAGGAGGCGGTGGCATTGGTTCCTCGGACGTCTTCCTCGTAGAATCTTGCTTCACTACCACCATCTTTAAATTTTTTCTAGTCCTGGTCACCGAGTCCTGAACAGGCCACTGAACCTCATGGAGGTTAATAGTTTTAAAGAAAGGCCTCCTCCTTCCGCCTCACGCATATACCTCCACCTCCAGGTGGCGCTCGAAGTGCTGAACCGCCCAATCGCGTCGTTTTCTATTGTTGACTCCAGCGTATTCGGACCCGTCTTTGCAGCTTCTTCTGCCCAAAGTGGAATTAGATCTGCAATGTGAAAGAAACAGTCTGAGAAAATGCAGGTGATAATTTGCAAAGACACTTCCAGTACCCCTGGGGAAACATTATTGGGAAATTATGAGAGGGACGTTAACTGTTTCTTTAGCTTAACTGGCAAAGTATTTATTACGACATTAATTCAGAGTCCCATTTATAGTCTTGATGAAACTTTATCTTCAAAAAAATTTAAATTATTAATGTATATACTCCTCTGATGATTATGGTTCCTGCAGATTTTAAACTTCATATCTTATTTGATTGTTTTTCGTTTTTTAGTATCTTAGTTTGTATTCTATTATATTTCTATTCCTATTTAACTTTCAAATGGAATCTGATTGTTGTGGATTAACAAATTAAGCTGCATGAAAGCAATAGATGCAGTTATTAGGAATATTCGTTTCTAATATTCGAATCGGATTGATTTAAATATTAAAAATGGATTTAATTCATGATCCATCTGTATTTTCATACAATGACGTCATATGTTTTTTATTATTTATTCCATATTTTATGAAACTTTAATGAATTTTTTATTAACAAATTCAACGATTCGAAACCGACCAGTGGCAACACTGTATGAAGGGGGAGGGGTAAAACATTTTTATAGTTCGACAGTCTTCAAACGCAACCTTGGCTGGTATTCTGCCAAAACACAAAGACACGTTCAAAAGGGATGTTATTACTTGCTGCGACGTCAAAGGTCACGTGAAATTCTAGTCTTTGACCATGACTTGAATGGAGTAACCGGAGCAAAGCTTTCTTTACTCCGTATGTGTTACAACGTATGCTTTAAAAATTCATCAGTTGAATATTAAGAATGCGTTTAAGGGTCTTATTTTCTCCGGAAAGAGAGAATTTATATGCTCGAGAAAAAGAAAGGTCTCTAATCTACTCCCCTTATTTTGAGAATAATCTGGTCCGAATGGCGCATGCGTGTTTACACTCATGGTCGTGGATGAGGCGGTTGAACTTATATCTCCAGGACGCAAGACTGTCTGTCGGAAATTCTAAAGATATAGTGTTTCTAAATATTTTGAGATTTTGCTGTTGAATTGAGTTTTATGTGTTAAGTGTGAAGAAAATATATTTAATAAATAAATTTAACACACGGAAACGATAATAATAAAAAGACAAAAAAAGTTTTGCAAGCCATCTTACTACTCAAACTGAACGTTGATATAATAAACTGAAAAAGAAGACTGAAAAAAAAAAACCGAAAGAAAGTGTGTGCCAACATTTCACACAGCATCGGGAATTCTAAACATATACTGCTATTTTGCATTTAAATTTTTTGTGATTTTGTAGTTGAATTGTACATGGCATCAGTTCAAAGAAAGCAATGCTGAAAACCAATGCTAAAAAGAAAAAAGGGGGGAGTGAACAGGGGTGACTGCATCAGATTTGTAGACTGCGAGCTCAGCGAGAGCATAAAAAACAAGCCATTTTGGGAGACCGTGAAAATTTGAAACATTTAGGATTTCTTTAAAAAATAATTATACTATTATTTCAACTAGTAAAAAATGCTTCTATTGCCATATATTATATACTTCGGAACAGATCAATTGTGTGTATGTATCTTGATAACTAATTTTATCATGCATTATTAATTAAAAATTTTTAAATATTAAGCTAGTATTAATAATTGAGCATTTTATAGTATAATATTCCTTATTCGCTTATGAATTTTCTTTAAAGTTGTAGAGACAGTAGGATTTTTTGGAAGCAAAAGAGAATAAAAAATTAGCAACGCCTTCGCCGAGAATCGAACCATGGACCTCTGGAATACCGGTCCAGCGTGCAGAACCACAACACCACGAAGGCACGCTAGGAAAGTAGAAGACATACCTTACATACTCCCCTTTTTGAAGGGCGACTGGGGTTTTTAGGGGTACCAATCGCCAAATCTGGGTGTGGAGAATCATCATCCACAACCCTTTTAGTTCGGGCGCCACTGTAGAGACATAAGGATTTTTCTGGAGGCCGGAGAGATGAAAAATTAGCAACCGCCTTCGCCGGGAATCGAACCACGGACCTGTGAAATACCGGCTCAGTGTGCTGACCACTACACTACGAAGTCTCGCTAAGAAGGCGGGAGAAACACCTTATCAAGTACAATTCACTGTTTCAGTTTTTATTGGAAGAATATGTTTTACTTGTATTAATATTTAATATTATTTTCCTAAACGTTAAATCTCAGACTTAATTCAAATTTGATATTCAAAATAAAAAATTTGGAAGAAAATAAACACTCGTGATATTTTTTGTTCAAATATTAAGCAATTAGTATAATTATAATTAATTACCAATTAAATTCTTATTACTGTAGGATATATTCTACGTTTTCGCTTCTTAATTCATTTACATTTCGTAATTCATTATCACTGAAATATAAATCAATTAAGAAACCAAAACATATAGTTTACAACAGACCGTATTATATTTTAAGATGGCTTAAGTTAGTGATTATTTTATCACATTAAACAGAATTTAAATTGCTAATGAAGCATAAGCATTCATAAAATTCTATCTTAATTTATCATTGCTTCAGATACAAAAAAAGATTTAATTAGAAGTAAGCTGGCGCTTTCTCTCGAAATTTCTTTGGCCTTCTCTTTGCAATTTTATAAAATATCTAGTGTCCATGGGCATTTTCATTACATTTAAAAATATAGAATATTTTATTTCTTCTTTCCACAATTTTTGCGCTCATAAATCGTTTCTCACTCTTCGCTCTGTTATGAGTTTTTGTTTCATTCTTCATTCGTTTATTTTGGGACAAATGTTTCACAGTTTCAAAAATTTAGTCTACTGTGTTATAACAATTGCAATAAAACATCTTGGTTAGTCGAATTACAAAATATCGGGCTTCACACATGTTTAAAATAAAAGAAAAAAATAAGAAATTAGCTTAAAATATCTTTCCTAAAAAGTTTAGAAGAATTTTTTTAAACACAAATATACGTCTCAAGTTTTATAGCAACCATGTTTCACGTAACAAATAATTTTAAATATTTTTTTAGCTTTGTTTTCTTTTTCTTTCCTTTCTTCCCCCCCTTTTTTTGCTTTGTCGTTGTTTTTCTTTTCTCAGATCAAGGGCATAACTGATACATCACATTTAGTTAAATACAAATAACAAATCACCCTTAAATTCTAATTATATTATTCTATAATGATGCTCATACTACCTCACTTTTAGATACGAGAACAAAGAATGAATTAATTCTAGAGAAAGTATGAAATTTCACATAAAGACAAGCCAGTTCTGATTTCCAAGATGTACATAGAACAGAAGAATTTATGCTTATTAAAATTTTTTTTTCTACCAGGCGTAAACAACACACTTCCATTCAAAATAATCCTGTTATACATTTTCAGTTTTTTGCTCCTAATTGAAGTTAAATAATTATAAATGTGAATACTTTCTTATTTCCCTCTACTTAAAGCCATTGTAGGTTTTTTAGAGCACGCATTTCGATTCATAATAGAATGAGTGAAAAAAACATGAGTTTAATTTTTCTTTCTTCAATAGTACTTACATTGTCAAGTATATGAAGAATTATAATAATTAAGCCTTTTGTAGCTCTACATTTCTCTGAGAACATCAAATTATTAAATCCAAAATATATTTTATCCCACGGCTTTTAATACTAGTATTTTTTTATCCTTGAAATAATCTTGTTTTCTGTGCCACTTGCAAAAGCACGAGTAGTTTCTTTCCGCGTTCGGTCTGAGCTAGTTTCACATGTCGCCATATCAACGCCATTGGAACCCTGTTGTGTAATAATATCTACGTCTATATCAGAGCCAATGGAATGGAAAGGTTATTTGCAGGTACCATCTGGCTATTAAGAATATGTTATAAAAAAAGCATTTAAATAAGGAACTGTCAACAAACAAATTTGTCTTAAGCAAATATAACGTTGAAAATAATTGAGCATGTGCCAGATTTCCATCACAACTATGATTTGTCCGAAATGTTGGCTAGGTACCACGAAGACCATTTCAGAACTCACTCCTGGCAACAGCACTTTCAACTTTTTCAAGGTCAACGCCGTTGTGGACAAACAACTGACAGCAGTTACATTCCTTAGGATTCGTTCCCATCTTGGCAAGTGGATCGTGAAAGCAACGTCGCTAACGTAGAATTAATCTTGAAGTCTTGATGGACAAAACGCTGCTTCCTCATTTGGTGCCACTGCCTTGACCTTTGGCAAATCCTGACACCAAACTTTTTCTAAGGGAATCATCCGAGCCAAAAGTACATGGGCCAAGTTCCCGTTTTTTTCCCTTGGATTATTTTTATTTTATAGGATCTGATACTTTCCACTTTTTTCATTCACTCTCTCTCACCCAATCCCTATTTCTAGCTAGAAACAGGTTTTCAACGTTTCATTTCCTTTCTCAGTTGCATAATTTAACTCTCAGCTAACACACAACGCACCAAAATATAGTGGAACTTCATTGATTTAAACTTATAAATAACCCTAATTGAATGTTTTTCACTGAATAAATTTATTAAAAATTAAATGTTAACTTTTTTAAATAAGCTAATTTTTTATGATCTTGAATTGAATGTTTCTCGCACTAAAAATTAAATGTTGACGTTCCTCAATAAGTTCAGGTTTTGAAGATCTTTTGCTCTTTTCTTTTATAATTAGCATTAATAGATATGTCGAAATAACCGATAAATAACCTTTCCTTAAATGACACTAAATTACTTTCATTTTCAGGTAATATTAAAACGATTTCTCTCACAATAAAACAAAATCAGATACCATACTCAAATCTCGAAATATATATCTCCAAATCTCTTTTGTAAACTTTATAAGTATGAAAAAAAGTTCTTGTAGTTTTTTTTGCTTATTCGATTAACTCTCTAAGCATCATCTTTCTCTGACTTTTCCGAGTACTGTTTAAAATACATATAAATATTTTTTTGAATTAACAATCTATACTTTTATTTTTAATTAAAAATTACTTTTAAAACT